TTTTTTAATGTTTTCTTTTAGTAGTAGAAAAAAATTGAATGCTCTATCTGCCAGGGGAAAAATGTTTTTTAAATGCAATGACACCGCAAATGAAAGTAAATTATAGAAATCGTTAAATCAGGAGACTTTCTAACCACTTTGAAAGGAAGGCAGCAACCAAACTAATGGTATATTTAAACCGCAGTGCTGAATTGCACCTTGGATAAATCAAGAACTTGCTAGATATTCCAGAGAAACAGGCGTTTACAATTAATTTTGGGTTCCCCTGGGTTGACTCTTTTGTGCCTTCTCATTTCTGAGGCTGACCCTGGTCACAGGATGTGGAGGTTTAATCCCAGGCTCATAATTTACACACAGAGGAAACACGGACTGGCCAAAAATTCTGCTTTCCGAACACATCAACTAATGTAGGTAGAAAGTCCTTGACTTATGACCAAAATTGGGATCAGGATTCCCATTGCTAAGCAAAGCCGTTGTGAAGAAGTCACAGCCAATTTTGTGACCTTTTTTTTGACGTTGTTGTTAAATGAATCACTGCAGTTAAGGCATGGGTGTCAAACTCGATTTCATTGAAGGCCGCATCAGGGTTGTGGTTGATCTCGGGGGCGGGCATGGGTGGGTGGTCACAGCTGATGGCATGGCCAGCTCGATGTCATTCATGTCAGCGCCTGTGGTGGCCAGGCAGGGCTGGGAGATCCAATGTCTCCAGTGTGTGCCCAGGGGGCAGGGCGGGGATGGCCCTTTGCTGGTTCCAGGGCAGCCCCATGGATCTACAGCTGACCACATTCTAGCCCGGATGGCCGCCACCAAGTTGTAGATCAGTGCCCAGCTGGCCTGGCGCTGAGGCGGTAGAAGCCATGGGCTGTTTCCAGGACAGCCCTGCGGACCAGATATAATCACAGGCCAGATTCGGCCCACGGGCCTTGAGTTTGACACTCCTGAGTTAAGGGAATCATGTGGTTGTTAAGCCAATCCGACTTCACCTCTTGACTTTGTCAGAAGCCCGTTGGGAAGGTTGCAAATGGTGATCTGTGACCCTGGCACATGGCAACTCTCGAAAATACATGCTGGTTGTCGAGTGCCCATGGAGATTCTGTGATAATTTTAAGTGCAAGAACCAGTTGTAAGTCACCTTTTTTTCAGTGCTTTTTAAATGGTCACTAAATGAATGGTTCTAAGTTGAGGACTACCTGTATCCCGTCCAACACATCAGCACTTTTAAATAACTTCAGAAACAGCATACTCTTAGATGTTAACACTAACGCTTCAGGTCAAGAGTAGGATACTGTTTAGCGGTCTTTGGCTATCCACACTTAAAAATAAGGGCAGTCCTCAACTTATTACAATTGAGCCCAACATTTATGTTGTTAAGTGAGAAATTTGTTAAGTGAGTTTTGCTCAGAAGATCTAGGAACTTTCAAAATGAACATCAACCCTGGTATAGGACCCTACTCTCTGCCTATTAAGAACAGAAAACATATTTACCTGAAATGCCTTATAAAAATATAATTCATATTTTTTCTCCAGGCATTGCTCATGATAAACTGCTCAATATGTCTTTAGTGATTGCTCCTTGATCAGTTAGAGTTTATTTTTCCTATGTAACTGTGTATGTTGCTAAACATCACAGGTAAGAGTGCTCAAATTATATTTTAAATGAAGGTATTCATAATGCATCTGATTTTTTGCATCTGATAATGTTTCTGATTTTTTGAAAAGCCTAAATTTTTCTGGAATAGGCTGAAAGTGAAAGAATGGATGTGAAAAAGCCCATATATATCTATATCTATATCTATATCTATATCTATATCTATATCTATATCTATATCTATATCTATCTATCTATCTATCTATCTATCTATCTATCTATCTATCTATCT